TGCTCCAACCATCAGAAATACCAGTGACTATCAGGGCGTTTACCATCAGCCCCACTTACCATCAGACGGAATACCATTGGATTTACACTGAAACCATCAGAGATTTTACCATCAGGCTGCTCCAACGATCAGACATACCACCATCAGGAACGTCCCATTTTCTATCAGGAAAACGATGAATACCTGATCGTCACGAGTCTGATCGTAATTTTCTGAGGCTGATGGTAATTGTCCTAATGGTAAAAATCTTGATGGGATTTACACCAGTGACACAGCTGTTTGCTGGTCGCGTGATCGAAGAGGCAGAGTGACAAGTGTTTTTGAGTACTTTTTATTCAGTTAGACCACATTTTTTAACCGGCGATCTATCATCCGTTTTTTGCGCCCTGAGCCGACCTACTAAGGGGCCCTTCACCCTATCTGGTCACACTGTCTCTGTTCTACATTCATCAGTTATGTTAACATGATTTTGTTGTCTTTACAGGAGTGATTGTTTTAAATATTTTTCAATGAATTACTTTACTTGGAAGGAGTTAGTGCCTACTACCTACTTGGAAGCATAACTTGAGTTTGATTGAATTATGCTGTGCCGCTAAATGTGAATTATTGGTGCCTTTGGTGTGCACTTTGACTTTTATTTACTGTATTTTAATGAACCCTTTAGAATAAATTCTCTTGCTTAGTATTGCTTAGTATTGTGGAACATAGGTCGTATACAGCACCTATAGATTACTTTTCAAATGTTGAGGTTGAGGGTTGTTCTTGCGGAACCCTTGTCGTGGGTAGACAACAAGTAGACCAAACGCACAAAATGTGGACTGAGGTTTTTGACAGCATTAAGATACAATAAGATACAATAAGATAATAATTGTCAACTTCAAAAAAGAATGCTCAGAAATATATCTCACAGCTTCAAATAATTGGATTGATTTACTTCCTCTTTCCTTTCTTGCTCTTTTGAACGTGTTCTTCATCAGAATCACCATTATCGGAAAAGTCCTCCTTTTTAACTGCAACAAGATGAATACAGATGAGGTATGTCGCAGTATGAGTAAAAAGTCTGGATCTGGAAGATGGCTGTGTGGTTTTGTCAGTTTGAACCCACCTCCTCGATAGAGGATAGCACGCCCTCCGCAGCGGAGAATTTTGTCATCGTGGTATACGCACTTAAAATAAATGTTGTTCTCCGATTCGACATTCACGTGGTACGCAAACGTTCCGTCACCAGTGTGATAAAAATAAGATTTTTCACGATAGCCTTTCTTTTGAATGAGACGTATACTATCAACTACCAAGACTAGCAAACTCAAGCTGCAAGACCAATACAAATATTAGACAGGATAAACTCAAGTCTTATCATCATGATTAAATCCTTTTACATACAGAATCAAGACTGCACCGGAGAAATACATGACGATGAGATAATTGACCAGACAACAAACAACACCTCATTTCATGGTTATGGTACGAATTGTACCTAACAGAAACAAGAGGACTATGAGAAATTAAACTGCACAGAACACTACGAACGTGGAAACGCGGTAGACGAAAAACAAAAGAATAAAGCGCGCGCTCGTGGAAGTGGGACAATGGACATCAGCATATGACACTTATACTACGAAATCAGTGAACAAAAAACACTGGCTTCATACAATCCGCTAACCCCTTCCCATTGCCACCGCCACCCCCACCCCTTTTCTCTTCCGGCCTCCCGCAACTATGTCAACCAACGATCGTTCTTTCTGACGCTGCACTCCACCCCGGGGTAAAATTCCCATGATGCCCATGGGAATGGCTGTCACTCTCCTATGGGAAGTTGCCGTTTTCCCATGGGAGACCTGAAATTCCATGGGCAGTACCCATGGCGCACTCATGGGAATAACATTCCCATTGGGATTCTGGCCATGGGCACGCTATCCCCATGGGTATTTTGGCTATAGGCCGCTTCCCGCTGAGGATGATCCCTGTGGGAAGCAGTGCCTATGGGCGGGTCCCAATGGGGATGAGCCCTGTGGGAAGCAGCGCCTATGGGCGGGTCTCCATGGGGATTCTATCCTATGGGAGGCTAGCCTATAGGCAGGTGCTCCCACAGGTGCGTTGTCTGTAGGAAGTGTGGGCGTTCCTACAGGCAGTCTTGGAAGAATGCTAGGGAAAGGCTGTGCTTAAGTAGTCGCGCCCTGGCCGCATCCCTTCTTGCCTGACGCCTGCAAGTGGCGGGGTAGGCAACCCCCCTCGCACCTGTGTACCATGGGGTGCCAACCGTGCCCTTCGCAGGGGCGCTCTGCTATCTCGATGTGCGAAGAGCACGACGACGCAGCCCAAACGGCGCCACACTTGTCTCGAAAAGGCATGCAACGATGCGAAAAGAACTTGAAACCCATATCAAAATGTGTGCTGTAATTGTGTGTTTTCTGTCTGTTTTCATGTTCCCTGTGAGTGGCTGTAGAGTAGGCGCTGCGGAGGCGGCGTATCCACCTTTGCTTGCACGACGCCTCCTTCATGCACTGCTGCTGCCTGCCTAGTCTACCTGACGCCCAGTCCTTCGTTCTGCTCGTCCATGGCCATTGAAAAGCTGTGTGATGCGCCGAGAAGTCCTGAGCGCCTCCTGCCTTCAAAAGCTTTTCACACCTAATGCTTTGAGCACTTTCAAATTGCAATACAATTTTGATTTGATTACAATAATAATAACAAAAAATAAATGTTTTGTAATTCTTTTTACCTGCTTGGCAACAAGATTTCCCCCCATAAGATCAGTCACTTACTTTGGCCACAGGTCAGAATATAGAGGTCCTAAGAATGGCAATAAAAATTTAGCAAGTTTTTAAAACCCAAATGCAATATTCTCTCAACATATTTCTTGATCACATTTGGAATACGTTCGAAGGACTGTTGTGGATTCCATTACAAAATTGTAATGCCTATATTACCTTATAATAACTTGCTCAAAATTAGAAAAAAAAATTACTCATATGCTAGCAATGTTTGAGTACATCGCAACTGCAGTACCATCAAGTACAGGGTGGTCCACAGACCCCTTCCTTTTTTGAAAGTATGCAGTCCGGCAACAACCCGGGGCCGGTCGCTGAGCGGGCTGGATAGCTCTCTCTCGCTCACACGAGCTGCACGTCACTGTTGGGGTTGGGGCATAGGGTACTTCGGGGGTCACTCACCCCCCGCACATTACCCTTGGCGACACCGCGACTTACCCCCGCGAAACCGTGACTTACCCCCGCACACCCGCGAGCATCCCCCGCGGGGCGCGGCAGTGACTCGCGGCTACCCCCGCGACTGCCCTGCGGGGCGCGGGAGTGACCCGCGACTGCACGGGTTCGCCCCTAACCGCCCCTCCCCACCACGCTGACGTGGACAGAGCCAGCCCGCTCAGCGACCGGCCCCGTGTTGTTGCGGGACTGCATATTTTCAAAAAAGGAAGGGGTCTGTGGACCACCCTGTATAACGATCAGAGAACAGTCAAGTCGGCGTTGCGAACGTTATGGGGAAGGTGCTGAACAAAGGGATGACAAAATATGTGCGGGAGGGGCAGGGCGCGGTATCGGAGGACGTCGTCGGGAAGGTGCTCCTGCTGGACGCGGAGAGGTCACAACTCGCCAGGATGGCGCCGAGGAGAGCCACAAGTGCGGGAGGGGCAGGGGCAGGACGGGGAATCGGAGGACGTCGTCGGGAAGGTGCTGCTGCTGGACGTGGAGCAGGTCACATTTCACAGCTCGCCAGGACGGCGCCGAGGGTGTAATCGCATTCAATAATTTTGTCTATTCTTACGTGCTAATGAGAAATAGGTCATTACCGTCAAGTTTTGGTGTCGAATTTCCACCCTGAATTTGAGAGAAAAAGAAACGACTGGTTATTAAAATTAACTTTCCCACATTCACATTTTTACTGGGTTGCCTGTTTGATCATTTTGAGGCGACTTAGCTCATTTTCTGCCCTTGTATCTTCGTTACGTTTAGATCTCTCCCCCTCCCTTCCCCCCCTTCTAATTTTTGGAGACCTGTAAGTCGGTTTGACCCAATTGAAGTAAGATTCGGTATGCACGTTTTTACTACAATCTCGAAACTGCTGTTAAAATTTCAAACCGATCCGTTGAGCCGTTCTGGAGTTATAGGAAAAGTGCCACTTTTGATTTGAGCTTCGAGGCCGGGCAGTACACGTCGACCTTACCCCCGTCTCTCTAGCGAATTAGCGCTTCTGACTTCTGACGCGATTCCACGGCTCTCAGGCAATTTAACATAGCCAAAAGATGTGAATTAGATGCTTTGAGATTTAGGCCACACATTCCACCCCCACGCTTCAATTTTGAAACTGTTTTTTGTATTAAAATCGACAAATCAAAATTGTTTGTCGTCTACAACCGAGGTCGGCCTCCCGCCTTTTTGCTGCCCGCTGATTGGCTGTGGTCGTCACGTGACACCGGTTACCTTTTGTTTTGTTTTATGACGCTCTTGTCAATTTGAAATTTGTGGATGCGATCCAGTCACGTTCTTATTAATTGATCAGAAAAAATCCACTTAAACAACGTTTTAAACAAAATAAATTTTTAAAATTGCTAG